CGGCTCTCTTTGTCCACTCTGCGCGAGTTATAGCGCGGAGCGGAGAAAAGATACGCGCGACTGTAATTCACCTTGAGCCTCTGAGAGACGAGATTGCCGGCTGGAGAGGAGAGAACTTATCCGCGGTCGTCTATTTCGGTTTAGGAAGAAAGACCGCACGGCACACGGGGGACACACGGCAGGGAACGGCAAATATATCCCTCCCCTGCATGCGTCTCCCGCAAATTTTCCGGAAACGAACCTCGCGATCGTTGATTTTCAATTCCCTGCAATTCCTTGCCCTTTGCTCTTCTTTTCGGCGATATTTTCGCGATTCTTCGACTTTTATGTAACATATAAAATCGCGGATTCTCAATTAAGATACTCTTGAGAAAGTTAACGCCCTAAAGTGTGCGTGGTTACATTCAATAAACAGGGAAGAGAGGAAAAAACACCACGTGACACTACGTTAAGGTCACTGACCTTGGTCACGTGTTGTTTTTTCACTCCTCCCTTTCACTATTTTTTGATTTTGATTTTCATGCATCATTTTTGACTTCTCTCTAATGTGTATTATATGGTTTGCAAGACTGCATATACTAGCTGTGTCGTAACGGTGACAGATTGTGTTCACTGACACAACACGTTAAAATAAAAACAATAACAGCGCGCGCGTAGAGCGCGCCTGTGTTGTGCTAGTATAAATAAAAAATTTTACACAAGTAAAAAAATAACACAAATTCCACAAAATCTATAAATTCAACAATATCGCAAGTCAGAAAAAGTCTTTGAAGTCTATCTGATTTTAAAGTCAAGAGATGTTACAAGAGAAATATATTAGTGATAATCTTGTTGCGCACATCAGACGGGATAAACAAACTTATTGTCACGTCTGGTTTATCTTCGTGCGCTTTGTACACATCTGACCTCGTCGAACTTGAGATTCTTTCGCGTACATCTTGATATTACAGTCAACGCGACAGAGAAGATCGCCCGAAGGTTACTCAGAGACAGTAATATGACAGTCGACGTTTGTTTCACACTTAAGTGGATTACCTACAATTTACATATTCGTGTTACGTACAACCGGCCCATATAACTCTCGTGTTGTAACGGGACCGCGATAACGGAAAGCGAAAATAAACTTATGTCTTATATATATCGTCGGAATGTAATTACGGTAAGAAAACAAAAAGTTAATTCGTTTTATTAGCGGCGATAATCTGAACAATTATTTAATTCGCGAGCGATAAGTAGTTTTTTTTTTCTTCTCATCGGTTACCGCGTACAGATTCGTATCTCGTTTTCGTTTACATATTCGCAGATATATCTGAAATATACGTTTGGCTTGTGTGTATAGTATATATGTGTATATGTATATATATGTATATGTATATATATGTATATCGATTTGAATGAACAGCTACTAAACGCCCGTAAAGTGGGACACGCGTCAGGAAAATTTTTCAATCGGACACGCGAGCCTGCGCGCGCAGTTTGTGCGTGTTTTCTCCCGTGTCAAACGGGTAATACCCGCGCGACTGTACACGTTATAAACGCGGTGTGTTACGCAAAAACCCTCTCTCGTCCCTCTCGGTGTTGGTCTCTCGTGTCAACGATCCAACGTCGCGTGTGCCGCTCTGTGAAAAACATTGTAAATATGTTTTTTTTTACACATATTGGATGTAATCAAACTAACTCGAGATCGACTTCTCAATAAAACGAGTTTTATTTACGTTTGGTTTTTGTTTTTTTTTTTTTTTTCATTTTTTGTTTCACTCTTCACGTACATACGTCTTGCGCGAGCCGAGATATATTGCATACGTGTAATAACGCCGGAGTGAAAGAACGTGACGTTATGCGTGTGGACGCTTGAGATATGCTTACGATGCGCGCGTTTCACGGTAATGCAACGGCAGCTTTTCGACTTTTATATCCGCGAGCGGACGACTCTTTCAAGTTTTCAGGTCGCGAATCACGATTCGTATCTCGGCGACGTTACAGTCAGTTTTCTCGGTGGATTAATCTTTTCGTCCAAGAGAGAGAGAGAGAGAAACTACACCGCTCGCTTCCAGTTTTCAGTGTGTCCGAAACTTTATTCGAATCACGGAGAAAATAGATAAAAGAGAGAAAGAGAAAAAACATATTTCGAGTCGACACATAGAGTCCGCACGTCCGCGACCGAAAATATCATTAAAAAATCCGTGAGATAAACGCGACGGAATTTTCGCTTCGTGTTTTATATATATAGCTCGGGTAGAGAATTCTGCGGAAAAGTAAAATATTTACACGCTCTTGTCGCGTCTAATATCTCGCAACGATCCATTTTGCCGATTCCCATGAAAATGCGAGCTTTTTATCCCGATGGGAAAAGTTTCCGTCTGCGAGTGGTGTTTATATGGTTATACATTTGATCGCGTCGCCGCGTTAGTCGTTCCTTCGATTGCTCCCGAACCGGAGCAGAGCTTCGATTGGATTAATACGGTGTCAAGAGCAAGTCGCGGAAAATTCTTTCTCTCATCAAGCTTTTGTTGCAAAGTTGCTTTTCCCGTCCTTTTAAGGCTGGAATAACAAGTCAAACTGGAACTCTTAGAAACGAGACTTCTTTTTTTTTTTTTTTTGGACGTCCTTCAATCGGACTTTAGTCGCTCGGGAATAATAACGATTGTTTTTTTCCGATAGAATTTTTTTTCTTTTATTTTTCTTAAACGTTTGTGTGTGTGTGTGTGTGTGTGTGTATGTGCGCGCACGCGAGGTGTCAAGCAATTAACGGAAAACGCTAATCGATGACTCAGGAATTTCCGCGATGTTTGCCAATTCGACGGAAACGGTGAATCCATCATTAGCAAGTAATACCATCAGCGCGCATTAATATTAATATTCGGTAGTCGATCCTGCGCGGCCAATCGTTTGTCAATATTTGCTTTGACATATTGCACCCGAGGCATCTCGATGCGCGCACAGTTATTCGCCGGTATGGCACTGGTATACCATACGTACGCGATATACATAGGCAATACGTAGGAATCATCGATCGCTTGTACAGACGCGGCCTCGCGATTGTAGGTATATATATATTCGTCCTCCGCGATACGAGAAAAAAAAAAAGTGCGCGCGCGCCCCCATAGAAATCGCGCACTTTCGCTCTCTCGTGGATACACGCCGAGGAGAAACCGACCGAAGCATCAATCACGAGGGGTATTTTTTTTCTTTTTTTTTTTCTTTTTTTTTGTTGAATCTCTAAAGAGGTGCGAAAAGGAATTTGACGAATTACCGCAACGTTACGCGCGCGTCTCGAATGAAAAGAAAAGTCTTTCATTGATTCTCACCTTTTCAGGACGCGCGTGTGTGTACACATACATACGTACTTGCTCTTTCAATGCCATGGAAATGGAATAACGTCAGTCGGCGGTTTGAAAGTGAACGGAGGGAAAACATCCACGTGTTTACACACACAAGATGTTTGTCTTCCCGTATAACCGCCGCGCGCACCACAGATTGACATTGGCTACTCCGGGGGTTTTCGGTTTCCGACCGTCGTAATCCCAATCTCTTCACTCGCCGATAGAGCGCACAACGTTGGATTATACATATTTTACGCTGCGCATGTGCGGTCGCATGTTCTTCTGCGTCGATTGCCGCCGGACATAATCGCGACTGCATAATTCGTTGTGGTAACGTCGAATAAATAAGTGATAGAATCACGTCGACGAGGGTCATATTACGACGGACACGAGGTTGAAGTTAGATGGGGTCAGTTTCCCGGGTGTGGTGTGCGCGCGTCCAACTTTGGGACAGCCTAATTAAACTATACTTAATTACAATTTCCGACGAATATATGCGCGTTGTTCTCCGTGTCCGTGGGATAACCGCAGCTCGTTCTCGCGAGAACGTGAGAGAGACCGTAAATTTAGTGCTCTAATTAAAACGTTACCGCCGATATGATCGAACAACGGCGAAGTAAATTTACCTTCTCGTGGTTCTTCCAAACAGGGGGGAAAAAAAAAACGCAAAATATTAATCTATTTTATCTTCGTGGCACACGTTGGGGATCAGTTGTTCAAGTTAAAAATTCGCGTTACACGTGACTTTATTAGAGGTCGTTTCTGTTTCTTCGTCATTGGTTGTTCTCTGCGTCACAAAACTTTGTTGTTTGCGCTCGCGTTCGAGACTCGCGTCTAATTATCGAGAGAGTTTCTTTATCAGATGATTTCTGTCATCAGGCGCGTCTTTCGCTCTCATTTCCGCGTGTATCTCCGAGTTGACAACTGCAGCTCTCTCTCTCTCTCTCGGTTTATGTCTACATTAGTCGTGAAATGGGGATCTCCGGCTGTATCTCTGACGTAGACACGCGTCAGGCGCTTCTGTTCGACCGATCCGGTCGGATTGCTGCGAAATCAGCGAGCCAGCGAGCTGGATGATTCGGATTCAGCATAAGTTACCGCTCGCTGGGCTGTCCCTTAATTTTCGCGAGCGAGTCAACGGTTGTCGTCCGTGCTTCCTGCACATCAAAGCTTCCCGATCCCACGATACCTCTGCGCATCAGTTCCGCGTGCAGAGATTACAGATTACCGCGAAAATCGAGTTATCGGATTCTGTTCGGTGGCTGTTTCTCTTTCTCCATCTATCTATCTCGTCGCGTTCGCTATTGTAAGTCCGCGTTTATTCTTCTTTTCATCGCAAATTTTGATTTCAAGTAGAAACAGATAAAATCACGTTAGAGAGATGAGTTTGTACACATTGACTCTTATCAAATTGAATGAAAGCTGGAAAGTGAAAAACAAATTTTTTTCAAATTACAGCAGCACAAATAGCAAAATGTTCAAAGTCCGGTATTTAACAATTGTAAATTTATTTCCGCTAATTCTTTTTGTTGCACATCAAATGTTCGTACCGGTTCCGGAGCACGCTATTCGGCACGACGGTGGTGGCAGCAGCAACGATGGTGGGGGAGAAGTCGACGCGCGCGGCCATGTGCTCGCGTCGTAGACGCTCGGCTAGGCGATCAGTCGACGCCGCGCGCTCGCAACGTGTACGTCTTTCTTATCGGGATTTTGTCGCAGATCGACCGCGCATATTCGGCGGGTACACAGAGGAGCGACGACAATCGTCTCTTCCCCTCGCACGGTGTGTGTGCAGTTGTTTTTATTACGCACCTTTTCCCAAGCGCGCGATGACAAGCGCGCGTTTCCCGCATCATCTTGCGCGCGTGTGACGTGTTACAACATATCTTATACCGGGAGAAAAATCGTCTCGAGGGGAGATAAACAAAAAAAAAAAAAAAAAAAGTTGTTTTTCTCTCTCAAGGGAAGAAAAATATCAGAGCTCGCGCGGGAGCAGAAAAATGCCAAGGTGATTTCCTTCTCGCGGATATCCCATTGGCGTTTTCTTGAAGAAAAACAATCGTGAGTCGTCCCCGTGTGTTTGTCCCCGCGTCGAGTCTCTCACGATCTTATCGTTTTCTCTCACTTTTGGTCATCAATCGCGTGGGGAGTTGGTAATTGCGTGATTGCGACACGCTGGAGCGCGATTCTCGATTGTTCAACACGCCCGCCGATTGAGAGAGAGAGAGAGAAAGAGAGAGAGTTCACCGGCTGCCGCCAGGATGCATCACACGGCGCCCTGGTACCTGCCGTGGGGTCTTAAGCTCGTGCCGCTGCCGATCCCGCCTGGACATCCGGCTTCCAGTATACCGAATCCAGCCGGTCTGCATCTGCTGGCTCCGTTGCCCGGAATTTACGCGCCCGCGGAACCGCGCAAGGTAGGCCACAACGATCCTCGTATGTTTTTTTTTCGCGGCTGTGACCCTTCGTCGCATAATTTTTTTTTTTGTTTTTTTTTCCTCCCCGTAAAAATATATAACGGAAAATCCTATTTCGAAGGAATACACGCGGCCGGAGATATCAAAAGGGAGGATTATCTCGGAAAAACATGAGCGCACAAAAATCGAGTTAAGTATAGGCTATAGAAGTTGGTAATTGATTTCGGACTCTCGAACAAGCGAAACTTGAAACTTCAAATGAGATACATCATGTTTCTCGTTCCAGCCGCGAAGTTTTAATTTTACTTTACAGGTCTCCGAGCTTTAAAGTTGGTTATCGTATGAGAAAGAGAGAGAGACAGAAAAAGAAAGAGAAATAGTGAGAAAAGAGAGGAGAGTGCTCGTTCCCTTCATTATCGCCGAACGAGCTGTGGCGCGTTCGTGCTTTTCGAGCAAAAAGGCCTTTCCGTTCATTGCGAACCGCGACCCGCAATTGAAAAGCTCCGCGCGCTGCAGTTTCGCGGAATCATTCGCAAAATAAAATATTTTAAGTGGCTTTATTCATGCTCGATGGGAGAAAAAAAAAGAAAAAAACATCACATACAAGATTGTAATTTTATTTATATCGCGCTGACTGCGCGCGAACGACGTATTGAAATAAATTGTCGTTCAGGAGGCGACGATTGTTGATACAGAGCGCGTTACAGGCAATTGCGGCGAATGTGTGTTACGCGCGATGACGTGATCAGAATGTGTGTGTGTGTGTGTGTGATCTTCCTCGCTTCTTTATGAATCACGACGGTTTTGCATACACAATTGGGACAATGAATTATTGTCTTTGGGTCGAGAAATACGTACGAAATAAAACAATGATTAATAGTTGCAATTTTTATTAGAAAACAAAACGCTCCGTTGAGCTTCCGAGCGTTTTATTATTGTTTCCAGTAAATGCAACAATTACGAGAAATTAATTTCTTCGCGTAATATATTAATGCATTTTACGTGAACCCATTATCGCGCGAGACTATGGAGTCGCCACATGAATGAGGAACCCGAGATTGAGTAGGTCTGATGAGAGAAGAGCTGACCGAAATTAGATCAGCGCTTGTACAGCTGTTTCATATATTATTACAATTGTTAAAACATATAAGTGTATATATACACTCGCACACTCTCGCGTTTACGTGCGTGCACACACACACACACACGCACACATACATACATATCGTGGCGCATAAAGCGTGCACCTATTTATAAATAATTAGACCTGTCAGTGTGCCAAATTCAGTCCAGTTATCTGGCCTGTCTGTCCTTAGCGCGCTTCTATTCTAGGTAAAATCTAAATAGTAGTCGGCGCGTACACGAGGGCGAATGCATCTAAAATAACTCGCAGAATGCTCGTCGTCGCGTGTGTATCGGGGATAGCATGACAAGTATCCATGTTTATTCGCCCGTGTTCCTACGCTTTATGTTGTACACCGCGTGTCGTCGTGAGAAGTCACCAACCCTGGCCACAGGACCGGTTTCCCCGGATTCGTATTTACCCCGAATACCGTACGCGAATAGAATATTCGAGGGGGGAAGGAACGGCGCGCGCTGAATATTTCACGCTGCGTGCGATGAATTACGAGCGGAATATATATATATGTCGACGGGAAAACGGGAAAAGGGAAGGAGAGGCAAAAATTGGCCGATATCGGCGATAAGCGAGCCAGTCAATTCGCAAGCGCGCACGCGCGAGGGGGTGAGTTCTATGACAAATGAGGATGATCTCCCTCCCTTGATTTTTCTTCTTATTTTCTTTGTTTTTTTTTTTTTTTATCTCTATTTATCTTACGGCTTCGGAAAATGGACGATAAAACGAGATTGTCTTCACAAAAGACGCGGACTTTCCGTGTAATAAAGAGAGTCACGAAACTTCGAAAGCTCGTTGACTTCGAACTTCGCGCACGCTTCATCAAACTCGACGTAACCACGCTAAATCTCTGCCTCCCCACTTGTCCCGGTACCAACAGCCGCTTGCCAATGCCGCGACCGTTTAAAACCCGCTTTATTCAAGTAATGCGTCTCTCGATCCCGATCTCGATATCTCTCGAGAACGAGAGCTGTGTGTTTTTTTTTTTTTTTTTTTTATCCATCGCTTTGCTCTCTCGCGGAAGGGAATCGGTTTCGTGCATTATATTGCACGGAAAACTTGACCTTATAACGCGAAATCGCTCAGGAAACGAGAGAGATGCAGAGTTTCTGCGGAGAGTAAAATAATCTCTCGTTATGCGCGCAACGGCAGCAACGTCACCGCTAACGCGAATTAAATAAAGACGCTCGCGAGGGAAAAGAGCTCGCTCGTCCGTACGCGCGCGCGGCCTTGAAGTAATGAAATTACCGGGGGCAAAGGCGACCTTACTCGTCGTGCTTTCATTCCCGTTTCTCCCGGGGCCTCGCTTCTCTGGAGGTTAAACAGCCAAGAGAGAGAACCAACTGCGCGCTTCCCTTCTGGAAATTCGCATCGAGCAAGAGAGTAACATCATCGTCGTCGTCGTCGTCGTTGTCGTTTCGGAACGCTAGACGGCGGCGGATACACTTCAACGACACGGTAAACGTTTCCCGAGTGCATACCTATAATTTGACGAGCACTTTGCCGTCGGTGCGCCGTATTCGCATTTGCGGGCGGCAGCGCTTTTCCGAAGCGGCGCGCGCGGCGACATTATCGTAATACGTGAGATATAAAGTCCTTCGTATAAAAGGACACAGCGAAAGAAAGCGCCGTTCAAGGTGATCGCGCGCGCGGACTTCGTAACGCTGATGGACACTTTGAAGCTTGGTTGCGAGTGCTCGAAAAAATTGCTCCGAGCGACGTTTCAAGCGTCGCAAGCGCGATTACGCGTTAAATAAGCAACACAAAACCCGGGCGAGAGAATATGATCGAAAATAGCTTGTGTGGTGTATCGCGATGCGCGAGTTCGTGACGGCGATAAAATCGGTAAAATCTCTGCGGAAATCTAAATCGATCGATGTAGAGGCGAGCTTCTGTTTTCTTCCGTAACACGTAGGTAGATCGCGCACAGTCAGTCAGGAATCGACGAAACGGTCGCCAGACGTGCCGTTACGTCGACGAGAAAATACGCTCGCGTGCACCTTTGGACGGACATCACGAGTCCACATGCATAACGCCGAGAGAATCGAGCACTGTACACAAGACACTTTACGAGCAAACAGGTGCGCCGGCGTCTTTCGACCGGTAACGGCGCGTTTCACGTTCGTTTTCCGCGCTGAGAAAATCTACGCTCGATCGAACAGCATTAATTTGACGACTCTCCCTCCCGTGTTACGAGGCGGTTACTTACTTCTCGCGTTAACTTTTTCTTTTTTCGCTGAGTTGTCCGACGATTTCTTCCGGAAAAGTTCACTTCTTTTTTTTCTTTTTTTGTAACTTCGAGATGTAAAAGTTACAAAAGTATTTTTTTTTTTTTTTTTTTTATTCTGATTCATTCTCTTTGTGCGATATTTTATTTTTATCGACAGTTTTCCTGATGATTCTCCGTGTCTGTGTGTTTCTATAGAAATATTGAAGTTTAATTTTCGATATTTTGTATTTTTTTTTGTGTTTGTGTGTGTGTGCGTGATCGACGTGTCGCATTCGTGCTCGGATGCGTCTCTGTCGACCGTGTAATGTCACCGCATCGCGAAAGCCAGACATCAGTCGATCACATCACGTGTCGATGATTTTTAGCACGAAGTGGCGATAACCGAAACACATACACACACATCTGCACGCATATCTGAGTTCGTATCGATTTGCGGAACAATATTTTTTATGGAATATCGATATTTATTTTATTTATGAGCGTTGGGCGAATTGTTGATAACTGAGATAACAACGATTCTCGGAGGATTTACGTGTGTTTCAGCTCGGCACGCATCTTTGTTACATTATATTACGAGAAACGCGGCGATGAATGGAATATCGCACGGAAATTTCACGTATTGTATGTGATTTGATAAATTTTGTTTGTTTTCAATCCGCGTACACGTTTTCCGCGTGTCGACGCCGCGTTTATAATTCACTCTTCGCGCAATAAACGAATATTATATCGAATTGTTGTCTTCGTGTTTGTGCGATTACATTGCACACAATGGCGTTATGCAAGCGCGTCTGTGTTGCAGAGCAAACACGGTAAGTTTTGTTCTGTGTGTGGAAAAAAAGTGTTGTCTGAACGAAACGCGTGTGAGAAAAACGTCAGACGCGCGCATTCTTCCATCGTGTCGCCGGAAGAAGTTTGAAATCGAGTTTCTCTGTTCGCCGAGAGAGCGAAGTTTTTAATTTGAAGTCGTTTTCATAACTTCTATGCTCTCTCTCTCAACGCGCCTGGACACCGGGGTTATCAATAAGTCTCGGATTAAAGTTTTCTCGAGATGGATATTAAACGTCTCGGGAATGTTCACATTAAAATGTCCACTCATAAAAGTCGGAAAGCGCTCCTCTCATAAACTCCCGCGGGAGTCCTTTTTTCTCCGTTTTATTTAAAACTTGAATCGCGCGCACTGTTCAAATAAGCCAAGTTAATCAAGGCCGCGATTAAATCTTTACCGAGGTCGATTTATAAACAGCGTTTCGCTCTCATTTTTCTTAAACAAACTCTGTCTTTGGAATGGTTTTTTTTTTTTTTTTCTATTGAGCCGTCAAATTTTTTCCGCGATTGTGCGCGTCTCGTGCTCTCTCGCGCATGGAATCTGTCAATTGGATTTCTCCGTCGCGTTTTAAACGACAACCGTGTCCGCAGCTATCGTACAGAGGCGGCGCACTCACGCCATTAATTCGCAATCTATTTATTTACCGCACGCTCGTAACCCGACGTTTGATCTTCGCACCCATATGCGTGACAATGCCCGGCGCCTACTCGCTCGTGTTCACCTCGCTGCGGTTATTCCGAGCGCTCAATTATGTCTCTCGGAGGCACAATGAGCCGATAAATTTAATTCATACCGAAAATCGGCACTCG